GGCCCTCCTGTGTTGGCCCCTTCTTTGTGACATGACTGTCTTGGGAAGCATGTTTAAATAAGGTGAAGTGAAATTGCCTTTTTTTTAATGGCTTCACCCAAACTTCGCAGTTCCTTGCTTTGAGAGGCTTGGTTGGAAACTGCTCTGGTTGTTTCCCTTCTCTCCCCCTCCCAACCCGGCAAAGACCTTCTTATTCAGCCAGGCAATTGCTTCATAAGTTGTATCACCTGCTTTGTTTGCATTAGTGAACAGTTTTTATTGTAGTGTTCTTCAGTTATGTTGCATTTGATGGTGCATGTTGGTTTAAACTGCTGTTAGCAGCCCTGAATGGTATTTAAATTCCAGATGCTCAGAGTGGTTTTTAAACACTAAGAGGGGCCACACACCTTTTCCATAAATTAAAAAAGAAAATGCAAGGGCAAAATAATATTTTAGTACATCAGATTGCACCAATGATGCTACTGCAAAAGCACCAACAGCTGCTCCATGGCACAAAAAGCTGTTACGTAGCGCAAGCGTGGTATAATTACATCATAGGGAACAATCATCTATAGCACTGGTTCTTAACCTTGGGTTACTCGGGAGTTTTGGACTGCAACTCCCAGAAGCCTTCACCACCAACTGTGCTGGCTGGGGTTTCTGGGAGTTGCAGTTCAGAAACATCCGAGTAACAAAGGTTAAGAACCACTGATCTATAGCATTTGTATAGCATGTTTCAAATGTCCAAACTGTGTCATGTTATATACAGCATTAATATATGGAAAGCCAGTTTTATCTCTATTCTACAAGGGGGCAGGGGGAGGATAGAGAATAGTTTCCCAAGTACGTACTGTAAACCGAGATGAGATTTGAACCAGGGATTGTTTTGGCTTTATGATGACACACTGTGCCACTGACTCTCTAAAAAGACTATTTCTCCCCTGTGTACTATTTTAAGAGCATCTTAAAATTAAATCTCTTTTTGACTGGTACAACAGTTGGCCTTTGTGTTGGCACCTTGCCTGGGAAATTTTAATAAGCTATTATAAAGGGCTTTTCAGATGATGAGTCTTGCTCCCCTTGGCTTGTGCAGGACACTCTGTTTGGGCTGTAAGCAAATTACTGCACTACCATCACTATATATTGAAAGAGGCTTAGATGATGTGCAGAACACAGCTGCTGGTTGTAACACAGCTGCTGGTTGTCTAGAGGAGCTTGTCTGAGCAATTTGTTTTTATTAGTAAGTGCCAGGCCTTCAACAAGCCTTCAACTAGTGGGTGGGGAGTGTTTGGGGAATTTTATGTGTGTGCATGTGTCTGGGAATTTCGTTGTATGGGTATACTGTGTATATACTTACAATGACAATATATTATTATTATTATTATTATTATTATTATTATTATTATTATTATTATTATTATTATTATTATGTTGTATAAAGAGACAAGCTCTAAAAAGTTAGTTTTTTTCCACTATAGTTTCCAGAATCCCTTACCCATCAGAGCCTATAGCCATGCAGGCTGGGGATTTCTTGGAACTGTAATCCAAGACATAATTTTTCAAAGCTCTGGACAAGCTGACGCTCACGGTTCTCAATACAGCACCACAAGAAAGAAAATTCAGAAGGACCAGAAGTTGATGATGGCATCTAAGACAGGTGGGAGGCTGGTTTCTGGAACAAGCAAGGTGATGCCTGGGGTTGTTCATTTTGAGGAGCTGAATTGGGTGTAATGAGGTTGTAAGGGTTGGTGTGTCCAAGCTGGTTTCCTGGACAGCTGCTGATACTCAGGCTGGCACTGCACCCTAGTAGATATTTTTGGTGACAGAGAGCCAAATGTAGACTGGTTTGCTGTGGCACCAAAATCCCAGATACTGCAGAAGATAAGGTGTTAGAGACAGGCTGCTGCATTGATTCTGTCTGTATATCAAAATAAGCCTCTGTTTCCTGATATCTGTGCAAAATGATACACTGCCTTTTTAAAAGATTTATTTAGGGAGGAATCACAGCTTTGAAAAGTTTGCTTATTTGATTACAGCTCTCAGTATCCCATAGCCAGCATAGTCAGAAGACACTCCTCCATTTTTCACCCTTCCACAAATGCATCTCAGGTGTGAGTTCCTGTCACTCTCTCTTGAGTCTTCAGCACTTTCATAAATCAGTTGCCAGTGTTGACCATGGCCAGACTGACTCAGGGAACCTGGCAGATGTCATCCAAAAAAGTAACATTTTCAGGTTCTGATTGGGGTCAGGTTGGTCAGGAATGTGGACAAAGGAGATGTGCAAAATTGGGGAGCATTGTGACAGCAGTGGCTTTTTTCAGAGCTACAAGGCTGCTTGCAAGCATATGAATGGGACAGATAATGAGAATCCAATAAAAGAAAGAAGAGGGCCTAAGTAGGTTCAAATTTAGGAATGAGGAACATTCCTAAAGATGTTGTTAGACTGCTCCCCCTGCATTCCTCATGAGTAGCTTTACTAGCTAAGGCAGATGGAAGTTGCAGTCTTAAAACATCTGGAGGGCTGCATTTTGCCCATCCAGGTTCTAGCTAATCTTTCAAGTAAATTGCCAAGTTAGTGTTTCTTCCTCTTAAGACATCTGAAGACAATCTTGGTCTTCTCCTCCATCAAACCTGTAGCCCAATGCTTATGCATATTAACTCAGAAGTAAGTCCTGTTTGCCCAGGGAGACTTACTTCTAGGTTAAGTGTACATAAGCTTGAACCTATCTGGCATTGGTCAACACACATTTCCCATTTGAGTGTATTTATTTAATATAAAGTGCACCATAACGCAAAGATATTATGCTGCGTCTGTCTGTTCCCATTACCGCAAAGCTTGCTCATGACACACATTAGTCACTCTCCAGCTGCAAGCTTTTACTCTGTAAATATTGACAACCGATTTATGAAAGTGCTGAAGACTGAAAAGCACGAGAAGCAAACTCTGGAAGTCTCCCTTAATATGAAGTTAAAGAGCTTTCAGAAGCAGTTGTGGGAGGATGTGAAATGAAGGAGTAGCTAGTTAAATATGGATTGTAGAGGCTTTGGGGGAAGGTTGTTGACATAATCTATTTTAATTAAAAATTTGACATGCAGTAAGGAAGAAGAGTAGAGCTTGAGCTTAATGGGTAAAAATATAGGGTGGTTATATCTTTTTAGTAGTGTTGTGATCTAACACTATAGCTCACAGCTATGCTTCCCAATCCTAGGTCCCCAAATTTTGTTGAAGTGGAATTCTCAAGGAACCAACAAGTAGACTTGTTATTGGAGTTGTAATCCAAGAACATAGAGTCCCAAAACTAGGAACCACTTAGTGAGGGAATGGGGCTTGGGAGCAGGAGTAAGCCTGTGGAGCATTCTAGACTGGACTCTTGTCCCAGGGGCCCAGATCACATACACAAGCTGGAGGTTCTCCACGATTCACTTGTTAATTCTGTCTTGATTCCAGGAAATTCAACCTACTTGGTTCTTTCCCTGCAGTCTTGATCCTGCTGAGAACAGTAGAAGGGAGGGTAGATACAAAGCTAGTACTGTATAGCTTTTGCCTGCTTTCTCTGGTTGGCTGGTGCTGCAGTAGTAAGCTCATGCTTACATGGCCATGACTCCTAACATGTGTTTTGCTCCTCCTTGTAGTTGGTTACAAAGCTGTCCTGCCATTCCTTCAGAGAGAACAAATCATGATTACTGTATTGCCGTCAGCCTGTTAAAAGAAATATTTCATGCTTGATGAATTGCGAAATGTAAAAATTTCTCCTTTATAGATGTCCAATTCTTACTTTGCAATTGATTTGTGGTCAACATGTATTGCTGTAGGGTCTACACTGGGTATCTTTCATGATAATAGGAGTGGTAAAGGATTTTAAAAAATCTTCTGCCATGAGCATTCCATAAAAAGTTAACGCCCTGAAACACCACCTCCACGCCCTACAGTTAGCTTCTTTCAAATGTTATTGCTTAACCCACACTCTTAACACTCGCTTGGCAGGACAAGAGTTCTCAGCTTATAAATGATTAAAAGTACATTATTTCCTTAAGTGTTCACATATTTCTGCCCATCAAAGGAACAAAATGGTACTTGATAGCCTTAGGCAGAATTTGGAATGGGGAGAAGCAGCCTTGTTTTGGGGGAACTGTAATTTCTTTCACATGTTTTCCTTCACAACCACCAGAAGTGGAATAAAGTAGCATGCATGCCTCTTAGCAAAGATTAAGTGGATCTGGAACAGTGTTGCTCATACTTCTATCATTGTTACTGATTGTTACAGCACAAAGTTCTCTTAACTCCTGAATGTCTTGAAGGGGGGGAGGAGAAGCTATTGTTCTTTATGGCGCTAGGAGTGTTGATCAGCTCAACAGTGCAAAAATGTGTGTGTCATCCTATTGTGCAAATTGACATGTTTAATAAGCGAATTTTTACTGACTTTACTATATTTTAATTTCCTTTTAATGTGTGTATTCATAAGGCTCTCTGCATTTGTGCGCGGGTTCATGCATACATATTTCCATACACAAATATACTCAGAACGACATGTCAAGAGCATAAGGAAGAGGGCATTAGTTCACAAAAGAAAAACTGACACTTGGGTTGTATGGTGTGGCTTTTCCAAAGGCCTTTAGAATTCGTCATATTGCACCAACCCGGCTCACGGGGAAAAGTCGAAACGTCCCTGCCCAGCGAAGTGGTTGTGAGGGAGTTTTGACGATTGGACTCTGAGGAAGGCAGAGGACATGGTCGCCGAGGAATAGAGCCGCGCCTGCCAAGCGCTGGCCGCCCTCGCCAACAGCGGGGCGAGCTTTCCCCTCTATCCCCCTCGGCTCCTCGAGGGCTGGGTTGCGACTCGCGGAACTGAGGGACTGTGTGTGTGTGTGTTGCGCCTCACCACTTGGAATGTGGAGGGCGGAGAAGGAGGTGGCGAGCAGCTGGCGAATGGCCCTACCTTGACTCGCCAGCCAATGGCCGCCGCCCAGGCGGGGACCTCGGGAGCCCTGCTTTGACGAACGGGGCTGCCCGGACCATTCGTGTGTGTGTGTGTGTGGCTGGGCTGCCCGGGGCGGCAGCATTAGCCTCTGCCACCTCCGGCGCGCGGGGGACGAACCCTTGAGGAGACGTGCTCGGACTCCGTCGGGCCGCTTTTGCTTCGCCTCTCCCGCCGCCGCTTGGGGCAACCCAGCCGTAGAAGTTGGGTGCTCGGGACTGAGAGGCGCTCCCCTCCCCCGGCAAACTCCCGAAAGGGGCGGCTGAGGGTTTCGCCACCGATTCGGGGCTTCGCTCGGTGAATGCGGGAGCGACGGGGAAGCGGCGCCCACCCCGCGTGCCAACGCTGCCTCCTGGGACTGGCCTCGGGAAGGGAGACGCGGCCCCCCTTCGTTGAGGAGCGAAACTTTTCGGCGAGAGGGGAGGAGCGCCTCGGCCGCAGCCATTTGCAAGAGCTCTCTTCCCCCCGCCGCCGCCGCCGCCGCCGCGCCTTGTTAAATGTGTGTAAACTATGAACGCGGGGAAGGACTCGCGCCTCTGCGTGGAGGTGCTCAAAGGTGAGGGGAAGCCCGGGGTTCAGCTCCTAGCTGGGGAGAGGGCGGGCGGCGGGGCCGGGAGGCTTGCGCTCCTCTCGCCTCAGGGGTAGGCAGGGGAGAGTGTGTGCCTGGGCTGGGTGGACTCGGGCCTTTTAAGAGTTGCAGCCTTTTTCCGCGCAAAAGTTTTCTGGAAGTGCTCGGGAGCGCCGGGACTGCTGCTCGGTCGGGGGGGGGCGGGTGTTCCGCGCTCGTTGCGGCTCGCCGGGGCTGCTGTTTTGCTGGCTTGCAGGTGGGTTGTTTAAAAACCGTGCAGGAAGTAGGCGGTGTAACAAAGACTGGGGAACGGCCATTCTGTTCTCCAACCCCCCTCGCCCCCACTTTCGCCCACCCTTTGGTACAGGCCGCTCTCGGAAACATTTAACTTTTTGGAATCTTTCTCCCCCCCCAAAAAAAAAGTTTTCCTGATGTGTTTGTTAATCATGTAACAGCATTCGGTCAGCTGCTGGGCTCCTGAAGTTGTCCTTTTGTTTGCATGCGTACAGATTGGGTTTTTAACCGTCGTACTTGCACCGTCAACCTATCGGTGCAAAGTTACTTTCCGACTGGAAAAAACCAAACAGATTACAAGGGATCAGAAGAGGGATGAATCTTAAGGATATAGCTAAAACCTAATTAAATTCTAAAGATTTCACTGGAGCTTTTGCGGTTTTCTACTTCAAATACATAGCACAGGGCAGCAGTCCTTAAATGACTAAAGAATTAAGCTCCCTGGCTATGGTATAAAATGTTTAGTTGGCAGTAAATTGCATTGGAAATCATTAGGACTTCCTCCAGAATAAATAAACAAGTCTCAACAATTGCATGTTAGGCTGATTGCTTTGGAAACATAATTATGTGCCAGCAAGTGGACTGATATATTTACATGTCTAGCAGAATTTTAGTTTTTTGACTGACAGAATCCCAAGCCATGATAGCTACTGGCCATGCTGACTATGGGATGGTTGCTATTAAAAACAAATTAAGTGAATGTTAGTATACTAACGTTGGTAACAAAGAGTGTGACTAAAAAAAAATTAAAAATCTTGGTGTGAAATGTAAATGCTGTCTTGCCTTCAAAACAGAATAGTTTTTCATCTTTCCATAGTTTTATTTCATGCCTTCTCGTAACAAATTAGAGACAGACAGTAATTATATCTTCAGAGTTACCAGTCTGACATTCTGTGGCCCAAAAACATTTGGATGACTGAGCAGCAACAAAGATCCCCTCCCCACCTCCCTCTGAAGCAGTAATGCAAGGAGTACAAACTCCTTGAAATACCTATGGAGAGGAATTGCCTGTAGAACTTGTTTGCAGGGATGTGACCACCTGACTCCACAATATCCAGGTATCAGGTATGAACAGCTGTGCGGGGAAAGCCCACAGACAAAGATCTCTGCAGGTGGTAGGCTTTTCCATATACAGTATGTTGGAACTGTGATAATGTAAGGTTCCAGACTGAAAGGCGCACCTGTACACTTTTGACCTCTGTGCATGGAGGCTTTCACTTGCAGGTTATCTATGGCTATTACGTGGACCTTGAGGTAGTAGTAATGATGCTGCAGAGCATGTGCCTTGTTCTAAAGCCACATGAGGCTGGGGCTGCATCTCTGAAGCCCTGTCCTACACATGATTATCTTTTTCAAGATACAGTCATGTGTTCAGTTGCATGTCTATTTTGCTTTTCCTCTAATGGAATTTAGTAGTGACTGAAGATCAGAAACATTCCTGAGGTAGGGTAGAGACCTTTTAATACATCAGAGGGTAATTGAGTTTAATGTTGTGAATAAACAAAAGCAGTGCATACTCCATTTATCTGAAGGTGAGGGCAGCTCATGCCCAATAAAACATGTTCGTCTTAACCATTGCCACACATCTCTTTGGCCAGAATCCTGTTGCTTTGCTGCACAATCATGTAAGGCCAGTTGCAAAAGCTGAGTAAGTTGGTTGCATGCCCAGAGCAAGCTAGGAAAAAAGATCTCTTGCACAATTGTGATATTTATTCTTGCTGCAACAGATTAACATGACTGGTGTCACTGACTTTATTGTTGTGAATAAACAAAAGCAGTGCACACTCCATTTATCCGAAGGTGAGGGCAGCTCATACCCAATAAAACTAGTTTGTCTTAACCATTGCCACAATCTCTTTGGCCAGAATCCTGTTGCTTTGCTGCACAGTCGTGTAAGGCCAGTTGCAAAAGCTGAGTAAGTTGGTTACATGCCCAGAGCAAGCTAGGAAAAAAGATCTCTTGCACAATTGTGATATTTATTCTTGCTGCAACAGATTAACATGACTGCTTCTTTGTGAACTTTAGACATTGACTTTGCCTGACTACCCAGTGAAGCTTTGTAGGTAAATAAATGAGTATTAAACTTGGGCTGTCAAATGTACAAGCTTAGTATTTCATTATTTCCCTAGTTTCTGAAAAAAAGCCGTGCTATAGAAATTCTTGGCGGGAAAGAGTGGGTGGTTTTTGTTTATTTGTTTGTTCTTGCAGTATTAATTCAGATTAGAGTATCAACTTATTCCCTAAAGTTATTATAAGTACTAGTTTGACGGTCTTCTCTGTTTTCAATTTCAGATCGTCTTTATTTTGCCATTCTCTTCCATAAACCAAAGAATGGTAGTCCAAGCACACACTATTTCTGCATAGATGATGAATTGGTATATGAGAAGTAAGTATACAAGTGAAATAAAATAATATGATCAGCAGCAAGGGTAGAGATATAATGGGAATTTTGAGATAGGATGTATATTAACCCTGATTAAGGAAGATATTCTCAGAGTAGATAGATAAACATCAAATGCCCTCCTGGGTTAGCCAAAAAGCCTTATTGGGCCAGCAGTCAGTTTCCCACGGTGCCAAACAAATGTTTCTGGGAAGCCCACAAGCAAGACATGAGGAGGAAAGCCTTCTTCAGCTCATGTTTTTCAGGGACTGGTACTGAGATATGTGTTTCTTTGGAACATGGAAGTGGCAGATAGCTATTGTGACTAAAAATCAATGAAAATGTTATTTTCCATGGATGTTACTTCTCTCTCTCTCTCCCTGACTCTCTCTTAACAACTGTCTAAGTTAATGATCATCATCATAGCTTGTGGCAGGGAATTCTTCCATGGTTTTCAATTGATTGTGTGAAGAAGTCCTTCTTTTGTCTGTCTTGAATCTGCCACTATTCGGCTTCATTGACTAGTTTTATTGTTACAGGACAGAAACAGAATTTATCCACGTTGAAAAGTTTCCAGAACAAGCCAGAACTATATCTTTGCATCTGTCATTGGATGGAATTCAGTTAAGGCCTTCCATGACCAGAAAAAGTTTCCACTAGTGGAATAGGAAAAGAAGCCATTTGCCAGAGAACAGAAGAACATGTTGCTTTCTGGATGATCATGTGCTCCAGCTCACATTAGCCATGCCCATGTAGCCTGTGATAAGAGCTTGTGGGATTTGCAGTTCAGCAACATTTGGAGAGCTGCATGATCCTCATTTTTGCCTCTTGCAAATTGACTTTTTAGGGCTGGTGGGATCCCCCAGAGCAGATTTTAGAAGGCTGTATGGGCTGTAGGGGGAAGATGAGAAGGAAACAGGCAGAAGTCCACTAGTGCATCATTGGATTCAGCCCAGAGTATTTCTCTTCAACCAGGAAGAAGTCCAGGACCATCTCATTTCGTAACAAGTGGTCAAAACTTTAACAGTTGCAAAGTAGGGACAAGAAAAAAGTTAAAAAGAAAGTGGGGACAGCATTAATTGGAAGAAGCTATATATGCAGTTCTTGTGTATGTTATTAGGAGACATGTTTCCATATAAAATTGGAAATTGTACATCATATTTTTCTCACTGTGAAGTTAATGCTTCAGGAGTGAGAAACATGTAGCCCTGCAGGTGTTGTTACATTCCAGTTCCCATTAGCCAAAGGCAGTAGGAGTCAATGATCAGCCCCACAACATCTGGAGGGCAACACGTTTCTCATCCCTATACTACCCAGAATATCTGGTTCTTAAAACTTCAAGTTTACTTCAACAGTTAAAAAAAAAACTTATTAGAGGAACTTACTGGGGTCAAGATCTAATGATTATTATCAGATTTAAAACCTTTTGTTGCTCCCCCGTACTGGATTTTACTGGCACTAAAACCTCACTGCAGAGGATTTCCCAGTCCTCCAAAGCAGGTTTTTAGAGTTCACTGGGGAGGCTTGGCTGCAGGCAGAGGAAGGTGGTTGTTGATTCTGACAAAACAGCAACAGCAAGAACCAGTGAAGAAACACGGTTGGCTCCTGTCCTGCATCCTTTAAAAATAAAAAAAAATGTTGCCAGTTTACTTGGAAACCTAGTTGGAATACAGAGTCCAAACAGATTTAAATTTGGCAGTCTGTCATCATAATATGCAGGTTTCTCAGTTTCTTCTTGACCTACAATATATTCTAAAGATTCCTGTTGAATGGCCTCTGAAAGTACAGGAAAGCGTATCAAAACACTACCAGTGAAATTCCAGCCTGCTCCTCTGCAGTCACTTGGTGATGTTCAGATTCTCAAATCACAAAAGGGATTGGGGTCACTCTTAGTGAAGGAAATCAGTGACAATTCCTTGGGGATTTCGTTTTTCTCTGTGGTATTGAAAATGCTTGCTTTTCTTTTTATTTCATGCAGATCTACATAGATATGAGATGAGCAGAATTTTCAGTCAACTACTAGGGTAGATGATGCTACCCAGCTAGGCTGCACTAGACCCCAGTACCTGAGGATTGTGGCTTAAGTTTGCTGTTTGAAAGAACCTCTTTCTTTGCACGTAGGGAACTGCATATAGGAGAGGTTTCTTATACATTTCCTCCAATATATTTCACAATGGCAAAGGCATAGTTCCCTGTTTCTGTTGTCTTTGGCATTTGGAGTTTTAAAAAATCCACTAATCATAAAAACTGTTTTGTATTTGCCTTTTTTCAGGGAAAGCTGAAAGCCAGGGCGCTGTTACAAAATAATAACTTTGCTCCTTTTCCTCTGGATCCTGCTTTATTAATAAGAACTTGTGGTTTAGCAGCCTACATGTGGTGCTAGTATGGGAGTGTATCTTGCCATAATGGAAGGATAATACTTGTTCCTGGCATTACCTGCTTGAGTTAGCCACGTCCCACTATGTCTGAACAGAACTCTTGAGGAGTGAGCAGGAGTGTGATGATTCATGCCATTGGAATGTCCCTACAGTTCCTTTTCCACATGAGTCCTCTCTGTTTTGGATACTTCTCCTTATGGAAGGGAGGCAAGTCCAGAGTGTAGAATTCCTACAAAGATACAACAGGCATATCTTTACTGAATTCCCCTCTTCAGCCTCCAAGGGAAGGGCATTCCACTTTGAGCAACAACCTCATCCACTCCTGATATTTGATCCTGATGCTTTAGCTCAAGGCCAGTGCACAAAAAGGTTCTCCACCGCCTGTGATCTAACCTATTTATTATTTACAGCTCCCTATTATGTGAATTACTTGATTATTACTGCAATTTGCTGCTTCAGAAGGGCCTGCTTCAGAAGGGGCACAGCACAGCACAGCACAACTTTTAATTTCTGTGTTATTTTTCCAATTGTGTTTTCTAAAAGTGCCTGCAGAGTATTTTATTCTGGGTTCTAAAAGTGGTTATTAATATTTCAGTGTATAAGATACTGCAAACTTAAAAAGATACTGGCCAATATGTGTAAGGCTTTAATAACTTTTCTTCTACCCATAATTATAGAATGTGGAAACTTTCCATAATTACAGGCAGAAGAACAGTTTGTGGAGGTGTGTCCACCGTTAGCCTGAAGGGAATTGACAGAACAATATGCCACCTGCAGCAGTCTACGTATTGTAATGCAAACAGAGCTAGGAGAAGAATGGTTCTTTAAACAGCCATTTCATTAGAGATTTTTTGATTTAATCTTTTCTTTCTTTTTTCCCCACCCTTCTTTTTCTTCCTTCTTCCTCCCCAGCTTCTATGCAGATTTTGGCCCACTCAATTTGGCAATGATTTACCGATATTGTTGCAAGCTCAATAAAAAATTAAAGGTAAAATGGTTATGTAAATTTAGACGTAGTTATTCTGGACTATGTTCCTATATAAAATTTTGCATGATATGAATAGTCTTAGCCCGATGTGTGTATGTGAACTAGATTAATGTTCATTTTAATAGTTCAATGAACATGGTTTCTGCTTATTTACCAGAAGAGTGGGAAAGAATACTGTGGTACAACTTGCTTGCCTTTATTTTAAAGTACCAATAACTGGGTATACACTCTGTAGTTAATGGTTAAAGGAAGAAAAGCCAAGAAGCTCACAACCATGAAACTTAAGTCTTGATGATCCGTAAACAGAAGAAAGACATTAGGAAATACTCTTTGGAGTAGAGCTCCGTTCCTCAGGAATTTCTCATTTGTTAACCTGCCAATGTCCAAAGAGATTTATATTTGAAGCAGATAGTTTACTATGTTTTTAGGCTTCTTTTTTAAAAAAATGTTATGAGCAGTGATTATTACTTATACTTCTGAAGTTGAACGTATTAAATTTTTGCACTACAAGTAAACTTGGTTCCAGTGGCATTTTGAAAAAGTATTGTGTTACATGAACACAGTACTAATGGCAGGAAAATTAGATTTGTTCCTCCCAGATTCTTTGAAAATATATTCTGAATTACTTGTTTTTTATCCTTAGCTATGTAATAAATGTTGGTACAGTAGTTCCCAAAAGTTTGCAATTTATTTTCATAATTTTTCACCATAACAGGTCAGGTGTAGCCACTAAATGATTGTGGTTAACTAACTAGTTGTTTTTAAAATATTTACAAGAATACTATTGTATAGTCACTATTGTGTCAGTTTTGTAGAGCTAGGATACATGTCAGTTTCAGCATGATGTATAGCAACAACTCTCTCAAGACTATCTTCCTGCCCTTTTGATACATTTTCAAAATATTTAGTGAAAGTCACTTAATATTAGAGGAAATGCAAAGGCCCTTTAAGGTAGATGTTTGTGTAGTGGTAATATGGAAATTACAAAGGTGTTTTCATTTAATCTTGAAACTTCTGTTCAGAAGTGAAGATTGAAATATGTCACGCAACATTTAGCCATAGTCCCAAAACTGAAATCCTTGCTTCTTATAAAACTAATGAATGGTATGTTTGTGATTTAAAAGAGTATACTGTACTAGGAGTGATTTGTGGCAAGATTTTTGGGTTCTTGTACTCAAATTAGTCTTCAAAACTCTGTTATCTTGTGGTATTTATTTTTCAGTAGGTAAAGAAGCACACTATAGCACAGCTAAGTGTTTTGAAGACACATCTCTTCAAGAGTATATGTAATTTATATTATGACTGTGCATGTCCACTTGCCTTCTCTACAATAAATAATTAGTGATTCTCTGAGATAGGAAAAGAGTTTCACCACCTAGAACATGGTTGAATTTTACTAAGGACAATTTCAAAACTACAACGCTGAGGAAGTTTTTCCTCATATAACAGTATTATGCCTTCATAGGCCTTCTGTGCCAGATCTAAATATCTAGGCATACTATAGGCTTTTAAATGCTTTCATTGAATTAGGAGTCAGAAGTCCCCTACGCGAGCATGAAGGGGCAAGGTAATTACTTAAGTGTTCCCCCCTCACACTGCCCTGGCTAAGCTGTTCTTCTCATGTCCAGACTGGCTGTGAAATTGGTCGCGCAATGATTTGTGCTGGCGATTACATGCCAGGGGACCTGCTTGAAGGAAAAAAATCCACAGCTTGTCCATGCACAGATTTTCTAGAAATAGAATGCCAGTCTAAGAGTTTGCTGTAGGCATAGGTTCATCAAGGTCATTTAATTCTTTGTGTTTGAATTGCTGCTTCTTGATTAAGCATATTGGGGTCTAGCATCATTCTTTCTTGGAGGTGGTGTTGATAATGAAGTCATATTGCGTTCTGTCTCGAATACAGTATTTACATTTATATTGCTTATCTTCTCCTACTGGAACTATTTTGGTTCATTAGCTAACACAATCTTTCAAAATCAAAGAAACCAGTTTATAATTTTGTTCATTTTTTTGATACAGTCCTTTACCATGTTAAGGAAGAAGATTGTTCATTATTCTGGCTTTGATCAGAAAAAGCAAGCCAATGCAGCCTTCCTCATAGGCTGTTATTGTGTAAGTATTATGCTTACTATGTAAGTATTTTAATGTAAAATTTTAAATTGTAGTTTTCTCTCTGTGTTGGAATTATATTTAATGGTCAATGCTTTGCAATGTAGGTGTCCTGGCCACCAACTTATCATAAGCAACATGTTTGTGTTTTAAAGCTTTTCCCCAGATTTATCATTTCCCTTCCTTCAGAATGGTCTGCATATTGAAACTCCAAATTTTTTTAAGCCGCAGAGCTTTTTGTAGACATGAAATAGGTCCTGTTGAGGTGGTACATCGGTAATAAAATAGTGATGGGGTGGGGAACCTCACCTTTGAGGAGGTATGTTACCACTGCTGCATTGCAGAGATTTGCTAAAGATACTTCTCATTCTTTAGTTACTGTATTTGTGGGAAGTGGTTCATGATGGGAAGGAAGAGTATCTTTTTTTTCTTTTGTGTATACCATTGAATCTACATCCCACCAATCTCTTTTAAGAACCAGGCTGTTTCTTGTAACCCCAGGGCTCTTCGGATTTATGTATCTACACAGTTATACAGGTTGATTCCCGTTTAGCAGCCCCACCCCCATGGGAGTCTGGTGTTTGTTCTTTGTTGAGGTAGCTGGAATTCCACGTTGAAGAGCTGTAGTGCCCTTTCCCAAACTACAGAATTCTAATTGTTTCACCAAACTACAGATTCCAGCATTCCTTAGAATGGAGTGATGGCAGTTAAAGTGGAGGAAAACTGCAGTAATTGTTGACTGTAAGACACAATTAGGATAGCATTGTTGTCTTCATCTTAGAACTGCAGTGCTGGAAGAGACCCTGTGGGGTCATTGAGTCCAGCTGCTAATGAAAGACATAATTTCCTCTTCTTCAATATCTTCGTTTTTGCCTAGCAAAAGAAGTTGTAAGAGGATGTCATAACTGAATTTCTCACATTAAAAATCTTTATAACTAGTCTGGTTGGTTTCGGTGGTGTTATCCTTCAAGTGAGCACATTTTTGAATGCAGTCCTATTTTAATTTGCAGTTAGTGAGTCAGTCATAATTGTAGATTAAATGTATATTTTCATCAAGGAGCTACAGATATCTAGTAAGAGGGAAATGTAGCATGATATGTGTCTAGTGGGCTACTTGCTATGTCACTGTCCCTCTTCTATTACTGTGAGGGAGTGCATGATGCATTTTCACTTATTTTATGTAGAGTAATTGGCACAGTACCCCTGCCTTCCATGTATTTCAGAATCTCTTACAATGTGTTTAGCTGTTTTAGCAGATGAATACTTGAAAACTAGTTTTCTAAACAATAGTGGCCCTTATGATATGGCCAGGTTTGCTGCTTTGCTGCGCACAGCTCATATTAATAGCAAGGGTGGGTTATGGAGTGAAATGAGGGGTGCCCTTCATCCCAGTCAGTAAGAGGCATTTGTTAACTTATTTTATTATATATTTTTTTCATTCCTCACGGAGAGCCAAGGACCATTCATAACCTATCTTGAGTTTTGAATTATGGCTTAACCGTTTCATACTCAACATTCTTTGTGTATGATATTTTTACATTTGAGTATTTGTTTTAGAAAATGTGCTGTTTCAGAAAGCTCAGAAAGAGAGACTAGATCATTTCTCACATGCATTAAAATATATAGGCCAGATGCTTTGTGTGTTGGTTGGAAATCATGTGGTAGGCTCGGCTTCTATTTCAGTCTAAAGTGGATATGAAAAGTTTACACACCACTGTTAAAATGTCAAGTGTCTGTGATGTTAAAAAATGAGACAAAGATAAATCATTTCAGAACTTTTTTCCACCTTTAATGAGACCTATAAACTGTACAACTCAGTTGAACAACAAACTGAAATATTTTAGGTGGAGTGAAGTGAAAATAAAAAACTGAGATAATATGGTTGCATCTGTGTGCACACCCTTAAACTAATACTTTGTTGAAACACATTTTGATTTTATTACAACACTCAGCCTTTTGGGGTATGAGTCTATCGGCATGGCATATCTTGACTTGGCAATATTTGTCCACTCTTCTTTGCAAAAATGCTCCAAATCTGTCAGATTGCAAGGGCATCTCCTGTGCACAGCCTTCTTCAGATCACCCCACAGATATTCAATCAGATTCAGGTCTGGGCTCTGGCTGGGCCATTCCAAAACGTTAATCTTCTTCTGGTGAAGACATTCCTTTGTTAATTTGGATGTATGCTTTGGGTCATCGTCATGCTGAAAGATGAAGTTCCACATGTTCAGCTTTTTAGCAGAAGCCTGAAGGTTTTGTGCCAATCTTGGCTGGTATTTGGAACTGTTCATAATTCCCTCTATCTTGACTAAGGTCCCTGTCCCAGCTGAAGAAAAACAGCCCCAAAGCGTGATGCTGCCACCACCACGCTTCACTGTGGATATGGTGTTCTTTTGGTGATGTGCAGTGTTGTTTTTGCACCAAACAAATCTTTTGGAATTAGGGCCAAAAAGTTCAACCTTGGTTTCATTAAACCATAACACTTTTCCCCACTGCTTTTGGGATACTTCAGATGTGTTTTTGCAAAATTTAGCCGGGCTTTGATGTTTTTCTTCATAAGAAAAGGATGTTTTTCTTCATAAGAAAAGGCCACTCTACCCCATAGTCCAGATATTATGAAGAATACGGGAAATTGTTGTCACATGTACCACACAGCCAGTACTTGCCAGATATTCATGCAGCTCCTTTAATGTAGGCCTCTTGGCAGCCTCCCTGATCAGTTTTCTTGTAGTCTTTTCATCACTTTTGCAGGGATATCCAGTTCTTGGTAATGTCACTGTTGTGCCGTAATTTCTCCACTTGATGGCTGTCTTCACTGTGTTCCATGGTATAGCTAATGCCTTGGAAATTCTTTTGTACCCTTCTCCTGACTGATACCTTTTAACAATGAGATCCCTCTGATGCTTTGGAAGCTTTGGCTTCTGCTGTAGGACGTGACTAAGAAAATGTCAGTAAAAATCTACTAGCCCAGCTGATCTTTATTTGGAATACCTCAGAGGCACTTTGAATGATGGCAGGGTGTACTGACTCCTACTTAACATGAGTTTGAATGTGATTGTTTACTGCTGAATCCCCAGTTATGTGCACATAGATGCAACCATATTATTTCAGCTTTTTATTTTTTACTTCCCTCCACCTAAAAGATTTCAGTTTGTTGTTCAACTGAGTTGTACAGTGCATAGGTCTCATTAAGGTTGAAAAATTTATGAAATGATTTATCTTTGTCTCATTTTTTTACATGACATTTTAACAGGGTGTGTGTAAATTTTTTATATTCACTGTATATCTGATAAAATTTAGGTGTAGCATGAACAGAATTTGTGTTCAAAGAACCACACTATTGAGATCTGTCATGCACTTCTGTTCATAAGCATAAACATTTTTCCTTAACTCTATCCCACTTACACCAATAAATCTTACCCACATCAGTGCTTTGTTCAGTTATGTTACATATCAAGAAAGGTCGGAGCCAGGTGTACAGATGTATCCATGTGTGTTCCTATCCTGGGCAGAGTGGCAGTTCCAGCTGCTGTGTTATGATACTGATTATAGCTGTGGAATATGCTTTCTGTATATATATAACTTAGTTTTGTTTTATTTTTAAATAATTGGAACATTTAGTCAATTGAATTACTCAACTAAGGGCTTTTGACCAAATAGGAGAATACTGTATTGTTACCTTTTGAAATGATATTTCATATGAAAAACAATGGAGACCATCTTCTCTTACACAGTTAATTAAAGCAAAGTGTCTTCTAGGAGAGTGCCTGCTGAAACACACGTTTGCAGCAATCAGAATACAAAAATAAAGTTCAAGATTCATTCAGTTGAAAATATGTAATGTTTGTTGCTTCTTATCCCTGACTTAAACAAGCAGTTACTGCTTCAAGGTGCCAAAATTACTTTGATATTTAACAGTATGAGATGATTTGTGTGTTTCACCTATTTGCAATTAGTTCATGATTGCTTTTTGAAACACAAATATATAGTTAATTTTCTAAATTACAGTTTTGACTTCTGCTGCTGTGACTTGGCCTGTAATATGGAAGTGTTTTCATTTTTTCCATCTTGTTGAAACATTGAGTAAGGAAAATAAATTCAGAAATGAGTGGCATGTCCATATTTGTATTTAATGTAGAAATATTTTGCGTTACTCAGTGCTTTGTTACTGCAGCCTAAGTCATTTTGATGATTATAAAAGTCTTGTGCTCTGTCTCTGCTGCATGTCTTTGAACATTTACACAAGTTTGTAGACAATGTGTTAAAAATCTTCAGCAGAATTGTAAGAAATATGAAACAAGAACAGTTAAACTGTTACACTGACTTTCTAGTCAATATGACTGTTCTAATTATCAGCATTGTGTAACATTCTTTCTGCACGAAGTTTTTGTTGTTGTTTTTAACATTAGACTCTCGTACTTTTTATATTTCTCCATGGCTACAGCACTACACAATTGAAAGTTTGTGTATGTTTGTCAAAAGAATGTTAAAGTTTTCAATCACAATCACAAAAAAAATTAAAAGAATATTTTTACAATAATATGCATTAGCGCTTGGATTAGCTTTCTGATAGCTTGGTATCTTCTTTCAAAAAGGAAAATACATGGTTTGTGATTTCATGAATGTGCTGCATGCAAATTATTGGTTTGTTGTTGGGGTTTTTTCAGGATACATCTAACAGACAACAACAATTTATGTACAGTATATACAGGTATAGTTATAAGTTATACACGTTTACACAGTGTGTCAGGAGAGAAATACCTAAGGCTAATCTCACAAGTTTTGTTTTTAAAAATAAACATAAAATCATAGCACTTGAAGGACAATGAGAAACTAATCCAGAGAAGAATATATCTTGAAGTTGGTGGAACTTAATAAATTAGGCAAGTACTGGGATTGCCTACAGTGAAACAGGATTTTACAAGTTTCTTTAATTCAAATGACCACATGGAAACCTGAGCTTAAGAGAAATCAAGTATTGTTTATTAACCATATCTAAAATC